ACACTACCACACACACACACACACACACACACACACATATATATATATATATATATATATGTGTGTGTGTGTGTATGTGTGTGTATGTGTGTGCGTGTGCTTTAGTGTTCGTTGGTGTGAACCTTCATACACACGTTCATGCAAACATAATTTCGGGTTATAGACACTTTCATAAAGGTATTAATTGTAATGTCTTGAACCACAACTCCTATTTACTTACGTTTTTTAGTCAAAAGGGTTGACGTTCAGGCATACCGACAACATCAATCACTGGTTGACGGCGATGAAGAACGTGAATGTTCCAAATTTGTACATGCCAGAAACTTCGGATGTCTACAACCAACGTAACATGCCGAAGGTTATTTCTTGTATTTTTGCGCTCAGGTATGTGTCACTCAGCTGTGTCACCTTTTATCTCTTTCACACTTGAATGTCAGTGCGAATGCTTATGTACCGAGCTGTTGATGACAAGGCTTTGATTGCATTGACATTCCTTGATTTTGTTTTGACCTTATTCGTTTGAGGGCTACAATGTTCTCGATTTAGTAATCCCTAAACCCTAATACCTTAAACGCTAAACGCTAAACATCAGCCCTATTGTGCGTTGCATAGTCACATTCTCTATCAGAATGGAATGGCGCCTAAAATTCAAAATCTGGTGGGCAAAGTAGAATTCAGCGACGACGACATCAGTGCCATTCAAACGGCTTTGGTGCGCTATGGCGTCAAGCTGCCGCAGTTCAGCACCGTGGGCGGTCAATTGGCCAAGGAACTGAGCAGCGATCTGGCGGGAAGTATGTAGAAGCATATGTTTTTAGGGGGTTGTGAGAAAGTATCTGTTTTTAGGGGTTTAGAGGGCTCAAACCTAAAATCCCCATAAAGTTTTATATCATATGTAAGAGTAATTTTGACTTATGAGATCCCGTGAATGATACGGCACGTACTGCGTGTCGACTCGAGCATCTGTGGGTTGATTTTATATTGTAAAATTGAATGTGTTTAGGGTTTAGGGTTTAGAACCAGGTGCATGCACATCTCAGATTGGTTTTACGAAAAGTGTTAACCACTTGTCGCTTTTTTATTCATACTCAAAACATACACGACGCAAGTTTGATCATTGGCATTGATTTCGTTTCCTTCGTCTACAGTGCATGCGGCCATTCTGGCCATCAACCAGACAGTGGATAAGCAAGTGACTGCAGATACACTCGACGCACTCAAGGTACAGTGACTCTCAATAAAATGTGTGTTGGATATTGAATACTCGATGTACAGGCACTCTCATTGTGATGTAACCAGAATAATTACTTTTAACTGAGATGAATGAGATATCGATAATCTCCGTACATTCTGATGTATTGTTGTTGCGAGAATTCTCTTTGATTAACGCACGCAAAGATCTTTCGGTGCACACATTCCATACACTCTTTACATACGCTCTTCATTTTCATTAGACACATTTCACACTCTCTTTATATACGCACTTTATTGTCAGCAGACAACTTTCTCACTCTCTATACATACGCTCTCTATTCTCATTGAACACATCTTCACTCTCTTTACCTACACTAGTTATTCTCATTAAACTTTTCTCACTCACTTAACTTTCGCTCTTTATTCTCATTAAACAAGTTATTTCTCTTCATTCTTATTGTACACATTCCTCACTCTCTTTATAAACGCTCTTTATTCTCATTAAACACGTTCCTCACTCTCTTTATATACGCTCTTTATTCTCATTAAACGTTTTTAACTCTCTTTATTCTTATTGTACACATTCCTTGCTCTCTTTGCATACGCTCTTTATTCTCATTAAACACGTTCCTCACTCTCTATATATACGCTCTTATTCTCCTTGTCAGATCACCAAAGCGCACATCGACCACGTGCAAGAGTGCTATGGACAAGCGTATCAAGAGATGCTCTGGAGAGCACGTACCGCCAAACGACACAAGTCATCCGAAGCGATGAGTGCCTCGCAAAACATCGATGTGTATCTGACTAATCTCACCCAATGCGAAATACAGCACGTCATCGATGACGTCAATCGTAAGTGCACACTAAACCCTCGAAAAGGACTCAGAGTTTAGGGTTGAGAGTTTCAGCCTAAACCTGTTAACTATTCATACTTATGTGTAGTGTTGTATGAAAGCGTAGTGTATCATGTTTGGCTCTTGTTTGGCAGTGCGTATCACGCGGCAGTGGCAGCATAGCATTGCAGCGTCGAGCAATTGGACTTGCACGCCAACATTAAGATACATCGAAGTGTTTATTCATTAGTTGGGCGTATTCCGCTTACCACCAGTCTGTCGCCAGTGATGTGCTATTTATGGGCGTACATTTGGTGGGACGGTAGTGCGATGAATCACATTGCACAGTTGGTGCAGCTGAGCTACATCATTACACGTATTGTTCAAAGCAACTGTGTCGAACGGATACTTTCTGTATCAATTGAAATCGAACGGTGATGCTAGCTGGGAGTGTGTGTTGGTCATGTATATTTGGAATTGACATCTACATGACTCTCGTTCTAATATTAATATCAATTGTAATAGTCTGTGAGTATAGCCATATGGTGTGCTAACGAGGCAGTGAGCATTGTAGCGGATGAGATTATCAAAGTTCGTGTTTCTTCACCATAAGTGAGTCTGATACACTAGCCGTGTTCACATATCTGTCTATGTTATCTCTGTGAGTGATCATATCGTTCACTTATTTGTCTATGATATTTCTGTGAGCGGTGATATCCAGCCCTTTCCTTGGGCTATGTCTTAAATTCGTTTCTCCGACTCATACCCACGTGCCGGTCCTTAGCTGCAAACCCTAAACTTTAAATTTACCCTACACCCAACAGACGACAAGGCGCTGGGTGAGATCAATGCAGCCATCATAATATCAGATGCACTTACACTGCAGACAGCACTGGAAAACCACCACGCAATGGTCAGAGGCACCCGCCCGCACATGGCCAATATCTATCTCACGAAGCTGCAGCAGGGTGTGTACGTAGTGTTATACCTTGCCAAATGCTACTGTATAGTACTAGATTCTGAGATGATGCTGTAGAAGGTTGTGTCTGAGCATCATGTAACTACGTAGATGTTCATAGCACGATCGTCGCTTGCTATCGAGTACTGTCAAATGGCTCGATATGAAAGTGGATTTACATAGATGTCTATTTGTTCTTGATTACTGCAAGATAAGAATTCATCATTTTCCACATGTCTATAGTAAACACTATTTGGAAAAACCTAAATTAGTATATATTCATATGCTCTGGCTGTACCGAACTTTGTTCATGAGTTATCGGTTGTGATGTCAATGGATTAATCAATACTTTTAGGTACTATAGTTAAATCAATCCCAACGGTCTCACACAGCACCTCAAAAGTTCCACTTTCCACCTCATTGGCCACAGTGCGCAGTACAGCTTTGAACTTGAAGACGATCCAGAAGATCATCTCACAAGTAAACCAAAACACCGAAGAGACACAAAAGGAGCTGAAGAGGTAAGTGGCTGTGGTGGTCCTGTGCGTGGGTTTATGTGTTATCTTGGTTAGCGAACGGTGACTCATTTGTTGAAAGAACGGTCCATTGGTTTAGTGTGTGCAATTATAAATCCACAACTAGTATTGATTTAGGATTGTAGGGCCTCTGATACATCTTGCAGTGATAAAAAACGATTGTTCGTACTAAGAAGTGCAGTTGATTTGTAATTTCTTGGGTTTAAGCGTTTTAAGACATGGGAGTGCCATGCAATCCTACTAGAAAATTTCAGTCCTCGCCATCCGTAGTTGTGCATGTTATGTGTGGCTTGTGGGAATTTGAATGTGTGCACTCGATGACTATTGTATATGACGAACAAATGTCTTTAGTCCTTTTTTCGAATCTTCTATAGAATAAGTCATATGCCATGAACAAGGTGTTTACTGTCTGTTATTATGTATATCATTGTAGACTTCAACTTCAGGAGAGTGCAGTGGCGGTGCAGGCGGCCGTCCGACTGCAGGCGTGGTGTAGAGGAGAGGCAACCCGCAAATGGTGGAGATCCCTGAGTAAGTATCATTTCATCCCAAACCCCAAACCCTAAAACAGTCGACAAGATATCCAGTAGGCATGTGTGAACAGTACTTATACCTTGGCAGATGTGTCAGTGTGCAAGATACTTTAGTGTGAGTTGGTGTGCATCTATATGGCCATGCCTAAGGCAAATAGATGTCTCATAGGGATGTGCTAGTGCTCGAGGGCGGCATTGTGCAGAACTCAAAGCTATACACATACAAATGACATCACAACAGATGATGAGGCGCTGGGTGAGATCAATGAAGCCATCATAGTGTCCGATGCACTTGCACTGCAGGCAGCACTGGACAACCACCACGCAATGGTCAAAGGCACCCGCCCGCATTTGGCCAATCTCTATCTCACGGAGCTGCAACAGGGTGTGTGCTTAGGGTTGTACCTTGCCATGTGTGCACTCTTGTTGTAGTTTATTGGTTGCTTGTTGCCATAAGAACCAGAACATACTACTGAATAGTACTGAATTCGAGAATTACGCTGTAGCATGTTGTGCCTGAGCAATATGTAACTACGCAGATGTTCATAGCACGATCATTCGCTCGCTATCGAGTACTGTCAAATGACACGATACAAAAGCGAAGTTTTATAGATATCTATATGTCAGTATATATTTGTATCCTTACTTGGCTGTATCGATCTTTATTCATGAGCTCTCGGTTGTGATGTCAACGTATTGATAAATGCTTGAAGTGCTATAGTTTGATCACAGGCCCAACGGTCTCACACTACACCTCACCGCTCTCACACTTCATCTCACCGCTCTCACATTGCACCTCAACGGTCTGACATTGCACCTCAACGGTCTGACATTGCACCTCAACGACTTCATCTCAACGTTCTCACACTGCACCTCAACGGTCTTACAATGCACCTCGACGGTCTCACACTGCACTTCAACGGTCTCACACTGCACCTCAACGGTCTCACACGGCACCACAACGGTCTCACACTGCACCTCAATGGTCTCACACTGCACCTCGACGGTCTCACACTGCACTT